GTTCCTTGTTTTGTATCCTTTTCGGATGGTCATTTTATCTTCGATATCAAGCCAACGAACGTTGGCGCTGCTGATAGTCGGTGACCTGTTGAAAATGCTTTTAGAGACGATAAGTCTCTGAATCAAAGAGAAGTCCTGACTGGACATTAGTGTTGGAAATCTGAACCCTGTCTAATATGGTGCATGCATCAGATTTAACATTGAATTCAAATTAATGAAGGTCTTTCTTGCCTGTCCGATCGTGTCGTCAGTGAACTCACTCACTCAACTTTCACAAACTGAAGCAAGATATCAAAATCATCGTATTTTTAACATTCGATGCTTAAAAAATGAAATCATTCCTAAATATTGACGTCATCATAACTGAAACGATGCTACCCATATTATGTAATTAGAGGAGATGCTTTCTGTTTACATTTCTCCTGTTGATGATGGCTGGTATCTGTTGGTGGTGGTCCGGTATCTTCATGAACCATGCCTTCTCCATGTTTGTCTGAAGTCCTATCTTCTTTGCTTCTTCGTATTCTGCCAATTTTACTAATAGAAAAACTAAAATATAATTCTTGATTGCATTTTTTTCCCATTATGTACGACTGAAAGTTTCATCTAGCCCATTTCCTTTGGTTTTATTCTTATGATAATATTTCAATATAAACTTGAACATTGAAGTGGAGCAGTCTGTTCAGTTAAACAAATGCACTCATAAAATTTAACGCTGGCTATATCAAGTGAATCATTGAAAAAATTTCCAGGACTCAGCCAGTTTAGGCGTTACACATTTCACTTATTAATTTACCAGTAGATTGTATGTATGGAAACAACAGTAGTGGTCAGGAAACATTTTTGTTAGACATATTCACTTGTTCTGTTTGATTCCCAATGTGTTTCTTCTTCCTTATCTGGGAACTGATCATCTGGCGGATTTCTGACAGGTGACAGACAATGTTTATTTGTCTTTGGTGTTACTTGTTTCAGGAGAAATAACCTACAGATTTCGACAAGTTTGATTGACGAAGAGAATCATGTTTATGCTTGAAATAGTGATAAGCATGTAACCCTTGTTATCCAGTAAAATGTGGCTACTGTTAGACATAATCTTATCAGTAGTCAGTTTGAACATGTGTGATTAACAAACGCTTGGTATGATGTTAGGATATACAATCAATGATTTAGATATCTTTTCATCTGTTAATAAACAATAACACTACAAAAAAACATCTGTCGAATATACCGATATTCTCCATTAGTTAAAAAGTTGAAATTTAGCAGCTAAATCTTTTGAATGAATTCTGCATCGGAATCTATTTCATTTCCTGTTAAAAGTCAATCTGAACGAAGAATATTCTTTTCAATGATTTCTCCCCTTCAGGTTCTTACAATTATAATATATAATATTTGTGGTCGTTACAATAAAGATAGCCAGGTATGCGGCGGATACATTTTTTAACGTAGAATAACAGTTTAGTTATGGCGTGTCAAAATAAATAGTCATATTTGTGTGACAAACGTGTTAGTAGGCTGAAATCGATTAGAAATATTGTAAAACGGGAGACAATGACGGTGGTGATTAATCATAATAGAATTGTAGACTGTGAGGTAGGAAAATTGACAAATCAGTTCAAGGTTATAAAAGGTGTCAGGTGAGTGGCTAGTACAAAGTGGTCTGAGTTAAATATGACTATTTATTTTGACACCCCATAACAAATCTGTTATTCTACGTTAAAAATGTATCCGCCGCATAACTGGCCTTTATTGTAATGACAACAAATATTATATATTATAATTGTAAGAACCTGAAGGGGAGAAATCATTGAAAAGAATATTCTTCGTTCAGATCGACTTTTAATTCATAATATGGGAATATTTGACACTATTAAATCATTTCATGTTGTTCATGAGCTATGCTCTTCAATTCGATTGTCAAAAGATTTATTACTTATAAATAAATTCACAGCTCTCCAGTAAGTACTCCCAGGTAGATTTTCCAATGGTACTCTAACTGATGTCAGCTTATGATGAAATCCTTCAACCAATCAAACAAAATCCCCACAAAAAATCAACACTTGAATATTCATAATACTGTGTGCTGATACATTATTTCTTATGAAATACCTAATCGAAAATCTGAAAGACTTCTAAAAAGACAGTAAACTACCCTAAGTATTTAGGTAGGATATAATCACGTTGTTTCTGAAGTCAGATGTTGGTCAGCTGACATACTGTTGCATACTGGCTCCCATCTCCGATCTATGTGTTAAAACAGAATCGTGTATTCACATTCTATGATGCGCCAAACTCTGTGTATAATCAAATACAAATCATGTTATATCAAAAAGTAAAAGTTAAAATTTGAGAAAGTGTATTGTAAACAAAATCGAATTCCTAAAGTACGCTAACAAAAGTAAACAGTGTACATAGAAATAACCAAAAACCAATATTAAATTATACAACGGTAATTAGTTTGTGTAGAAGTCTAATACGAGTAATTGAATTACTTGTAGAAGAGTCTGGTTAAAGCTAATAGAGGAAGATAACAGTACTACTGCTTGTGAGAACCTACCTTAAATTCTATAAGCATTGTTGACTCATCGTCAATATTTCATGTATTAGACTGATTCAAAGTTACTCAATACCATCCACCAAAGTAATCATAAATCATTTATTTTTCTGAGTCTAACCCAATTTCAGTATGTTCAATGGCTTTCTAACAGTGACTAAATCTAGAAGCTTTAGAATATCTGTTATTACACAGTTGTATTTCCAATTGTTTTGAATTCATGACAGTTAATATTTCTGTTAACCACCCCTAGTTTACTAGCTCCCCAGTTTTCTAGCCGGTCCTAAGCCCAGGTAAAGAGGGAGGGTTATACGTGGGGTGAGCAACCCCACACAACTAAACCTATTAACCTTCTAGAGAAACTTCATCGCACATGAAATATATTAAAAATAAAAAAATTCAAATAGCAACAATTTTATTCTTTCGCCGAAAAGAGACTCTTCGCTGAACTACTTGTCTTCTGTCTACTAATGTTCGAATGGGAATTATTCATGAATTTTATTCTTCGCCGGAATCGGCGAGATGAAATGACACAGAGAGCTAATGAAAGCCTTCAGGAAGCCAGATAGCCAGCCGATGTGTCTTTTCTCAATGAAAGCAAGAATAAGAATGGGGACGTGGAATGTCCATACAATGTATCAGACTCGGAAGGTTGCCCAAAGGGCCAAAGAAATGCAAAGATATGGCATAGAAGTGTTTGATATCTGCGAGAGCAGAAAGTTGAGATGTGTTGTTGAAGCCTTATGTTCCGCTTGGAATCCAAAGGAATAATAATTTAAAATAACATTTCTGTTACCGTGAAATATGCTCTGAAGTTAATCTACTACCTGATATGAAGTGTAAATTTTAACTGAAACTAAAAGATAATTTTCCAACCTACTTCACTGACAACAGAGAATGAATGATATAACTAATAAACAGGAGGTTGCATATTTCTCCGGTTCAACTATTATTATGCAGCAGACTAAAATTACTACTGTACTTTCCTGCTGGTAATAAAACTGAAAAGTATGCTGATGTGGATTTCTTTTCTCACTGTTTCAGTATCAAAACCTTGTAAAGTTAGTCATCCTACTTCACTCAACACATTCCGTATAGTAGTAAAAACGCCATACAAACATTACATAATAAAATCAGAACAACATTAAATAAACTAACGAAATCACAACAAAACACAAAACAAGATCAATGGCGAATGAAATCTAACGGACCGTATTTTGCCTCGATTGTATGGTAGGCTAAAACTACACAAACCAAAAATTCCCTTACGACCAACCGTTTTACTTCCAGGAACACCAACATATAATCTATCTAATGAACTTTTAAGGAATCATTATAAATTATTTAAATTAATCCCAGCGTGTTAAGAAAATCAAAACAAGATTTTTCTGAACGTTTCGCCGTGTAAGCCACAGCTTCTTCAGCAGATTTATTCGGATTATAATTAATCATCAAAATATATAGTCAAAATTTTTTACATAAAATGAAGTCAGTTTATTTGAAGGTCATTTCTCCATGAACATTTTTTAACCAATAGAAGTATGTAAACTGTCCTCACATATATTTGTAATGACTAATGTCAAATTGTTGTTGTGTTTACTCTTCTATAGTTGATTTGTAAAGATTAGATTTGTATGCGTGTGTGTGTATGTATGTTATTTGTCATATGGAAAATACGTGAATTCATATGTGATAAACGTGTCATTACATGTTTTAAAGGTCATGGAGGCTCATAGAGTGTTTGTTGTTTTTTCATTTGTCTTGCTTCATAAGAGTTTGCCATATAGGTGATAAGTCTATACCTTCTTTCCTATTCACTGCATTTGATGTGGTTAAAATGTGTAAGGCTTCTGAAGTCAATCTTTCTTTATGTGAATGAAATCCTCTTCCAAGAATTTCAACATTGTCAAAATCAATCTTATGTCCGCTGTCTGTCGCATGAATTGCTATAGCCGATCTTTTTTCTAGACTTTTTAATTCTACTTCATTTCTATGTGGATGTTTCGTGCAAAGTCTATGTTCATTCACTCTGATTTTCACTTGCCTACTGCAGTAATTAATTTAAATAATTTATAATGAATCAATCTGACTCGGCGCTCAAATTATTCCAGGAAATTCGTAACACCTACGGTCTGGAAACCTATAACTTTTAAGGAAATTTAATTACCTAACAGAATCATGAGACCATTCTGTCAATTCGTTAATCCAATTTTTAGAGAAAATCAAAAACATTCAGGTAGAAGACAATGAAATAATGGTGTCCTTTGATGTCACAGCATTATATACTTCAAATATTTTTTTTTAAATTTTATTTTTGATTTACAGCTTGATTCCACACTGTATTTTTGGTACAAGTATGGAATTTTCAGCATGGATATCGGTAGCCCAAATTTTGCTGGCCGACCATAGATATCAGGTGTGCGCCGGCGTGGGCTCGAACCCCGGACCATGTGCATGGTCGGCGAGAATCCTAACCACTGTGCCACCGAAACTAGCAACAGACACTATGCAACAATTACGCTATAGTGATGAAAACATAAAAACGCAATGTTCAACTTCGACAGAACTCATAAAATTACGCCTTACAACAGACTTCCAATTCAATACTGAAATATATAAAGAGATAAAAGGAACACCAATGGGATCACACATATCAAGATTAATAACTGAAGCCGTTATGCAAAGATTAGAATTAATAGCTCTACCAACTATAATGAAACAGAAAATCTTGGTACGTTTCGTTGATGATACATATGTAATAATTAAGAGAAATGATTTAGAATATAGGCATAAAAAATAATAAGCAACATATTTGAAGACATCAAATTCACAAGAGAAGAAGAATTAGATAACAAAATCCCATTTTTAGGTGTCTAAATCAGGAGAACCAAAACAGGAATTTAAGAAACACAAGTATATAGAAAATCAACGCACACAAATCAAATACTCAACTATACTAGCAATAATCCGATTTCTCACAAGAGAAATGGTGTGCAGACATTGTTTAAAAGAATTCAAACACACTGCAGCACTCCAGAGTTGAAAAGAATGAAAGAAAAATACCTACAAACGGTCTTCAAAAAGAATAGTTATCCACAAAATTTCATCAAAAAGTGTTTAAAATCGAATCACAACACCAACAAGGAACCATCATCAAAGACAACAAGAAAATTCATCCTACCATACATGAGAAATATCTCTAATATCTAGAATGCTGAAACTGTTTGGTATAGATATACCACGCAAGCCAGTCAAATCGCTTGATTCGATATTATGCAAACCGAAAGATCCAACAGAAAAGGAGATAAAATTAATAGCATTTACAAAATAAATTGCATTTATGAACTGTAACAGGCATTACATCGGCCAAAGTGGGCGTCCCCTTCGAATTAGAATCCAAGGACACAAATCAGCCGTGAAAAGACAATATATATTCTTTTATATGAATGCACATAAACAATTATGGACATCGATTTAATTGGGATAATGTCAAAATCTAAGACAGAGGAAACACCACAAGTGCCAGGGAATTCCTAGAAGCCTGGTATTCAAACGAATATGCAATTGACAAACACGTTCATATAGACCAAATATACCAACTAATAAAAAGTAAATTTTGTGAACAGAAAGTTTAAAATCCAAGTCAATAGAAAATGGTCAATACATGTGTAAAGGTAGTTACCGGGAGATGCAATTCTACCAATCATGAAGAAATTTAAATCATTTCACTTTATGCTAAATATTGTTCTGAAGATGTTGTCCAGAAGGACGACGGAAGCTTCGCAACTAAACCAACCAGGTCAGAGAACACTATTAATTGCAAAAGCAAACTCTTCCTATTAATAAACGACATTCATTAAATTAACGACATAGTCTTGATCACACAAGACAATTTTATCAGTTAATAAACAGTGAGACATCTGTTTGCATAAAAGCCGTGGGTGTACTTTTTACATTCTACAAACAAACTATTGTAAAAAGAGTTTGAACAGTAAAACAAACGTTTTCCCTTACTTGAAAAATAAGCTGAATGAAAATGCTCTTCGTGAAAGTACAGATTACTCTTGAAACACACACACAGAGAGTAGTACACAAGTGCAGTATTGAAGAGTAATCTACCGAGTAATATAAATAGGTTCTTTAGGCTTATTAAGGAAGTGATACTCTTCTTTCGAAAACACTAAGTATTCTAGGGGAACAATATTATCCATTAATTTGATAGTCTTTTCAAGCGACCAATATAAGGTAAGTAGAAGCTTCCCGTGTATAGTGTGTCATTGTATTCTAGTACCTCACTGACACTAGGCAGTTCATGATGAAGGTCTTTCCATATCTCTGCTATATTTCCTTCTTCATCTAGACGAAGTAATATTGACGGTCCAGACGTATCAGTAGCAAACTTTGGGAAGAGGGACATGAGCTGTAATAAAGAAGAAAGATGGTACCATTATGCAGTGACGGATATATAACTCATTATACTAAAGAAAAGTGATAAGAAAGTTGGGTCTCAGTGGCTGAACAGTCTAAAAGCTTTCCTTACAACCGAAAGGTGCTGTGTTCGAACGCCTGTGGGTAAATAATGCCGGTTAGTCTCAAACTATAGGATGAAACATCTTTCCAGTACGCCCTGATTTTCAGTGGTTCTCGAACTGATATCAATCAAAGTTGATATTAACAATTCGTTGTCATAGAAAAGATTCGTTGTCAATAGTTCTTAGCAAAACAAAAATTAGATTTAACCATGAAATGTTCCTACAAGTGTTTGTGCATATAGTAGAGATACCTTACTTACTTCGCCTGGTCTTTTGCTGTGTGGTTAATATCAGTGAAGCTTCCATAAAGTTAATTCCTAAAGCTGCTTAAATATCAAATTATAATAAACTTTGAAATCGAGTTATATTAATGACAACCATCTTTCATAAGAATGCTTAGTTAAGAGGAAGGAAAACAGACATTTTAGTAAATGTATATTAAAAAAGAAAACCAACCCCAGTAAATATTTAGACTTCGGATCATCACACTTCATCAGCGCAAAGGTATCAGTTGCTTCAAGTCTTCTTAAATGAGCACACTCTTTGATAATGGATGAGAAAGAAAAAGAAGAAGAAATGTCAAACATTATTGTGGCTCAAGCAAAATGTCTACCCGAAGAACTTCATTGTCAGAAACGTATTCTGGAAACATGAACCTCAACAGTTGTCATTCCATATAAACCAGAGACGTCAGAAGATATCGGAAGAGTACTCAATAAGCACAAAATCAGAGTTTTCCTCAAAACATCAGACACACTATAATGCAGCCTTGTCCATACAAAAAGACCAAATCCCTAAAGATTCTCTATCTAATTGTGTCCACAAAATAAAATCCTTGAAAAATCATCAGCCGTAGGTCTACAAACTATCGAATCAGGCCACGAAACTGATTTTGACAATATTCAAATAATCCAGAGAAATTTCAGAAATCACAAAGAACTTCTCATATCATCAGAAGCACTTCATATCAAATGGAATCCAAATTGTCTGAGTAGGAATAATGGACTAAAACAGAATTTGATCTGTGACAAAATTAACAGGAATGTAATAAAAATTTCATTATGTAAACACACGCTACCTTTATAATTTTACACACTTATTAAATCCAACAATCTACACCTGGTTTTGTTATCTTTACCAACTGGCCAGTTTGACAACGCAAAAATTACCGCATGCTGAAGAACGATGATTAAGTTGTTATCTATATAAGGTGAGATTTTGTAAATTCTGGTTTGGTATTACTACTTTGATAAAACCGTTAGAAGTATTAGGTAACGAAACGTCAGTGAAAACAATATCGTTTTGTTTTTCATTCATTGGGAAATACAAAAAACCTTTATTATGATGAATATCATATATCCAATACTCCAATATTTTCAAACTGTTAAAAGTGAACTGAAGAAAGAAGATACCGTATTACTCAGGATGTTACAGGTTGTCTGCAGGGTAAGCTACGTGCCACTAAACCGGCTTGTTAATAGTCTGGTTGACAGGCACTTGGACGCATGTGAAAAATGGGCAAAATCCACTTTATCTAACTCACACCACCCTCTTCATTCATAACTCTCCCCTTGTATCTCATCAGACAGCCAAAACCAGAAGCCTATGTAGAAAACTATACACTTGCACTAGTAAGTACAAAAACTCAACCATACCCTACTTAGCTTGTGTTCTGTGCGATAAAGAAAATATTAGGCGCGAAACCTCTAACTTATTAAATAGTCAGTAGAACAACTGGATCTCGTCTTTCCAACTCATATCATTTATCGGTACAACGTTTTTCTTTCTTTCCTTTCCTTTTCTCTCTCTTTTTTCTGTTATGTGCAGCTTTGTTTCTTTCTTCTGCTTACGCCAGTAAATATGCTAGTACCTACTTTCCTAGCACCTTCAAACACTGTTCGCTTTTGGCTTTGCTACCGACATGCCAATATGTTGTTGTCATAATGAACTGAGATTTTCTTAATCTATGTAGAATTTTATTTATTGTTATTGTACTAGCTGGATGCAATACTGTAGTAAATAACTGAGAATTCCATTCTGCATCACAAGTACTGTTTTGGAATAAAGCAAATTATCATTATTATTATTATTTGGACATATATAGTCATTACCTGATTAGAAGCGGAAATTGCAAATATGGTGGTTCAGACAAATAGATCGAAATTACAATCGGTTTGGGGCACTACGTGGAGATTATAACCCCAATGTTAAGGCTAGATTGAGTGAAATTCAGCTGGGGTATTTCGACTATTCTTGTTGTTATCTTGAAATATTTATAAAACTGAGATGCAAGTGATTAGATAAGTGTTCCATAGAACTGGGTTCAACCATTATTACGAGATACGACAACATAACTAATCGTGTGGTTACTCCTCAATGAAAGTTGTATGACTTATCCAAACTGCCAGTTACCTGACACAAAAATACGGTCCATAGTGAATTGATTCAATGCATTTACATTATCTCCCCTTTCTTTTAATTAATAAATCATCACATGAATGCGAAACTGTTGCCTTGATGGTCCGAGACAAGGGTTCGCCATTTGTTGACACGATCACTAGGTAACTACTCAATTTCTACCAATAATCATGAGGTTTTAACTTAGTTGTGTTCTCTGAGCTGGTGGTTGATTTACTTGCGAAGCATACGTCGTCTTTCTAGACAACATCTTCAATATGGGGTTACTTTGCGGAGTGATTGTCAGACCTTGGACTGTCTGTCAGAAACGTATTTGTTCTTTTTAAATTCTTCCAGACAGCGTTTTAATCACATTTGGTTGGGAGTATTGTTATTGATTCTCAGGTAATTTATAAATCTTATCAGTAGCACAAACCACACGAATATTTTATTTACACACTTTGGCTAATTCCTCTTTCCATATTCAATATTTTATAATGGATAACAAAGTTTGTCCGCTGGCTGAGGTGAAATTACTAACTATAAACAGATTAAAGTCAAAGAAATTGGATTAACGAGAACCCACCTTGGAGAGAAGATAACGAATATTAGGCCAAACTGGCAGCTTCTTGAAGATAAATGCCATAACTGGTGAATCAGGCAGACCTTGTACAGGTACCCAGTAACCTCCACGTGGACTGGCTCTTATGTTATCAGGTGAACCTGGTAAACCATCTCTGAACAAGGTAACTTCACCACCATCTAGTGGTACCCGTAGTATACGTAACTTCATTGATTCTGCAACTAGGATAGATTTACCGTCACGATGAATCTCGATTCCGTTTGGAAAACGTAAATTGTCGAGTATTACACTGTGTTTACCCGTGTTTGTGTCGGCCATAATCAATCTGAAGTTTTTAATGAAAGAAGTAATTGTGTATTTTAGTTTTGTTTAATATGTATGTACAATAGGTAAATCTGAAAATGAAAGTGCATTTCATATTCTCTGGTTCAAGAATACCAATGTTATGAGGTTATATCCATCGTTCGGTCCTTGATAGTCATTTTCGAGTTAAAAAAATTGTGGTTTAACACTCAAATCCATTGAGATCGAATGCACGTGCCACTGCAAATGATTGGAAGTTAGAAGTTATTGTAAAGCGGCATATGGAGGTGAGATACGGATTGACAAACAAGTTCGTCTGATTCAAATTAAGTCGTAGAACAAACCATAATTGCTGAAGGTTAAAAATACTAACCGATTGAAACAGCACTACCTAATTTGATAAAACAACTTTCATGAAGCCTTACTATCCTGAAAATAGTCTTTTCACCTAAAGTGAGGTCAACCGATTCAATTTCCTAGATGTAAATTCTTCAGTTCAGCTGCATTGAATGAGTGCTGTACATGCGATTTTCATACTAACACAAACATCCAAAATAGATGGTTTCTTAAGATCTTTGAAATAATGAGGGTGAGGACTGGACAAAACCTTAGCGCTGAATATCTGTACACCCATGATGTGCTCTTGAGTAACAGAATTCTGTTAATTTAAGTTACGTCACCTATTTGCTGTAGATTCATTATTTCACTTTTAAAGCGATTACCTTCCTTCCCTCTTATTTGTTCACGAAAGTCCAGTTTATGCAAAGCAACTATGACTTGTTTAAAAGGAATAATTACTGAACAAAGAATACTCTGTTCTTCATCAGTTTCTACAGTCATAAATACATAATAGTCAATGAATTAGTGATATTAACAACATTAATGTTGTTTAAATAACATCGAATCAATAATAATATCAGTGGATTACACTTCAATAGCATTAACATAAAACTACACTGAATATCAGAAAAATTAGGAAAGATAATAGTACAAATTCATGAATTTATAGTCTCCACTGTAGGTCAGAGCAGTTGTTGTGACTAGACTTGCTCCTTTTGCACACAGAGCATCGATTGTTAAAGGTGAATCGCGATAGCCTCTACTGTTTGGAGTCTTTGGTACCTGGATGCTTTTGGCAATTTATTTGGTATTTGATAGATGATAAAAATGATTCTTCAATGCTGGCTGGCCTTGTGGCCGGTTTAGACAAGGTGGTCTAATATCGAATTGTTGATGGTTTTTGCTACACCTTTGCTTAGCCAAAGTGAGATGTGTTCTTGAGCACGAAAAATCAAGTTCCTAGAGCAACGACCAACATAACTCGCTCTACCACATGGTCAGTTGCATTGGTTGATTAAGTTGTAAGTGGCTAGTCTAGTCACTTCATCTTTCAATCAAGGAATAACCATCGATCTTTTAGAGAATAAGGCGTGTAGTTTGCCAGCAGTAAAAGTTCTTTGAATAGATTTTCTTAACTTGTCAGTATTATTCCACTCGGTGCCCCACCCCTGAGTTGCATTCATATATATATATGAAAGTTTCTTATTTACAGATGGAGAATAGTGCTTTTCTGCTTTCTTGTTCACGTGTCTCTTGATGAACTTTTCTGGATAGCTATTTTCAAGTATTATTATTATTATTATTGGATCGATGTTATTTTAAAAAAATGTTGTTAATAATACTAACTCATTCACTATAATGTTTACATAACTGTAGAACCTGATGGAGAGCAAGTTATCGAAGAGAATATTCTTTGTTCAGTGAGCATTCTTTCTAAAAAATTTAATCGCCATTTTTAATCAGTTGAAATGTCACATGTTTATTAATCGATGTGTAATTAGAAGTGGTATTTTTCATTGTTTCAGTTACCTGAATTCAGTTTGTAGCTATCTAACCTCTGATAAGTGTGATATTTCTGAAAGTAGGAAGAGTTACTTGTGTATTTAATTCAATTTAAAATAGCTGTAGTAATTTATTGTACTTGAAGTATTAATATACCGGGATGACGGAATTATAGGAATCTAATCAAAACCCAGAGAGGGCAGCAATCAGGAATTTGTATTTAGCGGAATTAGAATGCAATTCATATATGAAACATATCAACAGTCAACAGTAAGTATTTTAAACAATACAGAGATAGAAATTGTCAATCACCACATCCGCCACACCTCGAATATCTCCTCGCGTATTTATAACGATGTCTCGGTTTGCTTGCAAGTAGCTTCGAGCTAACTGATTCTGTGATATTATTTTCATCAGTACTATCTGGACTTATTTCTGAATTATCTACAAAATCAGGATTATTAGCGGAATCAATAATATTATAATTGGAACGACCTACTTCATTTATTGTCACTTTGTCCAGGTGTCCGTTATGAACTGAGTGATCTTTGATGTCTAATATCTTCACCACTCGATTTCCCATTTTTTGTAGTATAATTCCAACAGAAGGTCTGTAGTTATTATCTTTGTAATAATGTACATTAGAAGTAGTGGACATCAGATGCTTTTTGAGAATTCGAGATTTGAATAGTTTTGCAGGACTTTCACAAGAACTTGTATGCTCTGGATTCACCAGACGTAGTCTATGCATATGCAGTAATTCCTCAATTTTATTCAGTTGCTCTCTCATCTCATTCAGGTCTTTTCGTGCTTTCGACAGTTCACATTGCAACTTAGCTACCTCATTTTTGAATACAGTTGATACTTGCGTTGCTGAACTTGCAGTGGAGGTTTTCGTTGGATTAGCTTGAGTATTTTGAAAAGTTGAAAGACACATAGACTCCATTTTACTAGACAGCTTGGGAGAATTATAAGAATGTTGAGCAACATAAGTACTCGAACTCCTGCAAACCGTCTTGATGTGTCCAACTTTACCACATTTATAGCACTTAGCACTCCGAAAACGGCAAGTGCTTCGTAGATGTAACTTTCCACAGGATAAACACGGTTTAATGTTTTTGATCTCTCGCTGCATTCTATTACCTGTGGACGGCAGTTTGGATTTCTTTCCATGAACACTTGTATTTTCGACTTTGGACAGCATGACATCAGATACTGACGTAGTGGGAGCAGAGTATTCATTATGGACATCTTCATATGTAATACATACCTCTTTAGCAGTTTGAAACGTACAAGAAGGAATCTGAATTAACTCCTTCTCTAATTTAGGAATGTTGATTCCAGCAATTAGACGATCACGTAGTTGTGTATGCAGCTGATCTCCAAAATTACACTTTGAGGCTTGAATTTGGAGTTGTAGTATAAAGTCTCTTATCTTCTGATTGGGAGAACGTACCAGTTTGTTGAACTGAGCCCTCTCTCTGGTCTCAAAAGTAGTTACATGGAAGTGATCTATAAGAAGTTCACGGAGCTTAGCATATGGCATAGAAATGGGTTTATCTGGAAACGCCAGATTCTTCACCAGGCTATATGCATCAAGACCAATAGCGGTGATGAAATGAGCAGGTATTTTATCATCCCGAACATTCTTGGAAATGCACCACGCATCAAAGCATTCCAAATAATCAGCAATCTCCCGCGGAGAACCATTAAGAGGAAATTTTCCCAGGTTACTTAGCTCCATCGCGACGCCAATTTGTAGTAATTTATTGTACTTGAAATATTAATATACCGGGATGACGGAATTATAGGAATCTAATCAAAACCCAGAGAGGGCAGCAATCAGGAATTTGTATTTAGCGGAATTAGAATGCAATTCATATATGAAACATATCAACAGTCAACAGTAAGTATTTTAAACAATACAGAGATAGAAATTGTCAATCACCACAATAGCTTCTCATATAAAGTGGATGTTGAAAGTCACTAAATTACTGCGAATAATTGTACAGTGGTTAGGACTCTCGCCAACCATGCATATGGTCCGAGCTCCAATCCTCTGCCGACGCACACCTGATATCGATGGTCGGCCTGCAAAATCTGGGCTACCGATATCACATGCTGAAAATTTCATAATTGTACCAAAAATATGGTGTGGAATCAAGCTGTAATCAAAATAAATAAATAAATAAATACTCTTCGCTTACACTGTTAGCCAAGATGACTTCCACTCTGACAAATTCACTAAGATATACAAATCAGTGTTCCAGTTTTTGGTATAAGTGAGTTCGATGCATTGTCCTGAATCATGAGTTTGTAGCCAGTACAAACTGATAAAAATTATGTATTGCGAAACCTGAAAACAGGTTAGTGAATGCAGTAAACAGTCTCCTTTGAAGTGAATGCATCGGTTCACTAAAAGTCCTATTTTCGTCGTCCACAGCTAAGCAAATTTTTAAACATATCTATAATATTGCCAAATTCTTTCACGAAGGTGTTATTTTGAGCACTTAACCTAATGTCGGAACAAAGGCGATGGATTTCGCATTTTTGAGTCAAAAAAGTGTATAACTATGTACAATAACGGAGACTCATTAACATACGGATAGGAGTGGATTTAGTTAATTGTTTAGAAGGCTAGAAAGGAAGATGCTTTTAACGTTTATTAACTTTTAAGAGGATTTCGAGTATGCGTTCATTCATTCAGCTTTATGCCTTTCCAACTTGTTTGTATATTGCTTAAGTATATGAACGAAATTTACCTATGAACAAGTGTATAAACATTTAATATAAAACAAAGATATTATGCATTCAACAAATACACCGACACAATCTCACCTTCCACTAGGCAATCCCTCCAAAAGTGCTGACCGAAATTCTTGTATAGTGTAATTTGTACTAGCTTCAGTGATAAAAACACTACCATTTGGTAAGAGAAATGAATCATCAAAAAATGTAAATTTGAAATCATCTTTCAAAGGAAACAACTTCCGAACACCACCTATATGCGAAAGGAAATGAATCCAACTCATAGATAACACTAACTTACCATCTTCCAGGGATACAGAATATACACCCAAGTATGCATCAGTCACAAGTAAATACCTTGAATTCTTCAACATTCTCAAACCTAATGGTCTACTGCACTGATTGGAATTAGCTGAATGATTGAATTAGTAGTGAATAGGGTGGACATTACTGCAATCTGGTGAGGCGAGTGCTGTATGTACAGTAATCCCAGAATCGTTTATTTTCAATATTTTACCTTCCTTCACAGTGGTGTACAGAGAGCCTACAGAATATAAATATTCGAAGCATTGAAATGACTTACCATTGTAAAAAGCGAAGCTTTCAGGGCCGGTGTAGGATTGTAAATGAATCTTTTCCAATTTACTGTACTTGTCGTTTGAAATTAGGTGGTCATCCAATTCCAGTGATGGTGGCGTCACATGATATTTACGTGGATCCGATGATTGGGACAAATGTTGGTGGATTACATAGGCGAGGCAAATGGCGAAACACGATGATAGGAGAATATTTCTTAGCCTTAGTCCCATTAACTGTGCACTATATTCTAAGCTTATTAGCAATAACATCTTTATTAACGTCTCATTTATACATATATTTCATTTGACCTTGTAGCATGATAATATGTAGGCGTCTATGGACCAATAATAACTATAATTGTGAGAAGTGAGTATGTTGTGTGTCTCATATCATACCAAAAATTAACTTAACACACTAAGCATTTCGATGCAAATTGTTACTTGGAATGATGCATCTATTTCTCAAGTTAAATTATCAAAGGTTGTCCCTCATACCATTTTTGACCACGCAAAGTAAATAAGAATAATGCAAACTATGTTTTTTTGTATTGAAGCAATGTGAAACTGTGTCTTCTTTCTGAGACGGTTTCTTTTCAAATATCCACCTGTCACCTTGGTGAGGAGAACATCTAGGAAGTATGTACTGTTGAATAGCTGGGTTAATATAATTGAGAGAATTAAAAAGCTCCTTTTTTATTAGGATTTCTATCACGAACGGTGAAAGTGTCATCTACATGCCGACAATAGCAGTCAAACTCATTAATAATCTCTGAGTGGACCATTTTCAGGTTTCACGTAAGAAAAAGATCCTCTATCATAGGTCCACGTCTGAGTTTTATGCTAACGCATATTAGTTAAGTGCTGTACTTATAGAATAAAAGGTATGTCCAGACGAGTGCATTAATTTAATAATGTGTAAACTGAAGCTTACATTAAAAAATTGAAATCTGGAGATCTTTTCAAAAAGGTTTATGTTTATGCTTAGATCTGGGATAATGATGTATGTCATAAATAGAAAAACTCTGTAACTCAAGTTAAGTTATAAAGGTGAGATTTTCGCAGATATTGATAAATATTGACTTAACGGGTCGATCAAGAGAACACTCACTAGAGATAAACATATACCTGTTTGGTTGAGTGAAAGGGAAACCAAATGCGTCAATAATGTAGTCTTAGCCCACTTGTTGGATACTGGACAATCAATAAAACCCGAACAGACGTTCTGGGTTATCTACCGCATTCCTGGAAATACATCTAGAAGGGATTGACTATGTTTTCCGTCTGTAGATAAAGCGGTAGCAGTCAGTACCAGAAGACCTGATCTCTGTTTACTGAAGAATTATGTCCAAACGCTTTGTTTACTATGGTCTACAATAAGGTCAACAAATCCTCTATAAGTATTGATAATTAGCACTTCGAATTCCTATCCCATTTTTCTCTCTCTTCTTTTCCCCTTTGTTTCATTGACAAATGTTTATTTCAGACATTCTACGACTTCATGACCTTTCTTATCATGTCCATTACCTCACTCTTACGCAATGCTTTTCAAACTTGGAATTGTTTTACATAATCCTTTTACTTCTCTTCATTAGATTCTGTATCACCTGTTAATCGTTCACTTATTACACTTTTTCTTTAATATGCAACACCATTATTATTTTTATTCGACACTCTTGAACTTACCTCTAGCCTATCCTATTCGATGGTTCATTTCTCTGACCACTGACTGCAATCACCCTTGAAATCTGGGCAAAGTTAAACTGTAATACTCCATTGAATGTGAAGGCACGGGTCGCCTTGAGGTAACCAATCAGGAAATACTGTGGTTGTTGCACAAAAATGAAGACACATAGATGTAAATACATTAAACAGGAGACCTTTGCTTTGACGTCACTTATGAATTATTATATGGAGTATCAGTTTCTAAGTAAGACTAGTTTCTTTGTGTCTGTTCATCGAGGTGACTGTAGAGAAGTTCTCATTGTAACCCATTTATTTCTCTTATCCTGTCTTACGGTCTTCCCTAAAAGACTTCGAGTGAATTAGTATGGGTTGCAGTAAAAGGATCGACAACTATTTAACTGGGAAAATAAGGATAATAAAAATAAATAATACCAACCCGTCACCTAATCCTAATCGTAAGCCTAACCTTGATCCTAACCTTAAGCGTGACCGTAGCCCTAACGAGCTATCAACCCATTGTTTAAAAAACCCTTAAAAACGAGATCAGATTGAAATTAGCCCCTTGATTCGTGCACAGTGATCATATTGACACTATAGTAATAGTAGATCCCATTATCAATTGCGTTCATCCTATGTGTTCAAAGAGAGTCCTCAACTCTGAACCAGAATCTGAACTAAGCTTGAAAACCGTCCATTGAAACGAGTAATAGATAAAATGTGTTTTTGTTATCGTTATATTCATGATACATTTATTATTGTTGATCAGGAAGAACGAAATTCTCATAAAATTTAATGATATACACTCATCACTCATTTTCACTCGTGAAGAAGAGCATGGTGATAGATTGCACCTTGATTTTCAGTTGAGCAGAAGAAAAGATGGTTCACTAAAGAGATGTGATTATAGAAAAACTACATCTTTTGGACGACATACATATTTCTTCTGCTTCTTACACTCCAATACAAAGTCAAGGTTATCTCTCACATTCCATCGAACCTTTCGAGAAGAATTCGAACTCGCTGAAGTTGTGGCAATTCAGGAGTATATTCCTAGACTTTGTAGAGAAAAGACGTTCGTTCCAACTGTGTTTCCCCCGGCCTAAGTAAATCTAATTTGCTTGTTCTCTTCTCCCGTACTTTTATGATAGTTATTCAAACAGTGGCTATCTATCCACTTCATCCATACATAGTACTAGTTAACTTTTAGTATTTCAAGATGTTCAGTGTAGACTCAGCTACAAACCCACATCTGTTAGAGAGATGACTGAAGACCACAGAGAACCGGATGCGTGTTAATGTTGTCGTGCTATCTTCATTATTCTCATCATCACCGGCATCCATTGCTTTTACTTTTGTTATCATTATTATTGCTACTATTATAATCATGGTTATTACTGACGTATTTGTAGCGCTGAATCCTAATTATTTCTGATTCACAAAATAACCAACATTGGTTTAAAATTATATATATATATATAGCTACGTAAATTAGAGTAAATCTTTGAGTACGTATTGTTTTAATAATATCAACTGATCAGATGGTCTTGTTCTAGAAGCTACTTCTGAAGGTAGAGCCTCCTAGATAAATGTCACTTAGAAATTCCTCCAGTTCTGTTAACTTCTTTCTTCAGTGCGTGATGAGTTATAATGAAGTGGTCGTGTTATACGGAGCTCTTTGCAACTCAACTGATCAATACGACATCTCAAACAGAAAATATTACAGTTTTAACTGAATTTGTATTTTATTAACATTCTGGTAGATTAAATACTACCACTTGTGCTCGGACTATCTTTTAGGATATCTGCCTTTTTTAGCTATCAGTGGAAACATCAAAATGTATTCTCCAAATGATGGGTAACTGCAGGTTGCGTTGTATTCAAATTATACTATATGAGTACTGACATAACTTGCTTCTGAAATCCGGTCTACAAAAGTAGCCTTCGATATCATTTTTTTTCCTTCACGTTCCACAGCGGAACATAGGGCTTCAAGCTAGTGGCTTGAAGTTTCTGTAGCAGTGTTTATTTTACAGGATCGGGTTGCTAGCCTCACACCCAACCTTTCCTCTTTACCGGGATTATTTTCTGGCTTAGCGAGGTAAAGGAGTGAGTCAGCGAGCATGGTCGGTGAGTGTCCTGACCGCTATACCACCGACGCCTTCGATATCATGTCGTAACTTAATTACTCACTTATCAACCTTGAATCCCAAAGAGAATTAGCTGTGCTACCGACTGAGAATTCGGATGTGTGTTACTGCGACCTGGTATTAAGGAATGCTGGAATAAAGTAACAACTGAAAATAACTCACAAAAAACGCATATTACACTATATACTACTGGCATTTTGTTAGTAGGCGGAATTATCACTCTTGATTAGGTTCTAAAGTCATACGTTGGCACCATAAACTACGAAAATGTGTGAAATATATGTAGGAAAATGATATATATATATATATATCATCGTACTCTTAATTTTTCAGACAACACCTGACCTAAAATTTTAAAATCTCTCTACCAGTTCACTAATTTAATAGTTTTTAAAAGTTTGTAGTTCATCCATTTCAATGCTGCCCATCTTAGTACATCCATTTAGTTTTGTTTGTTCTTACTAAATGTGCATTATTGACCACTGAGCAATTTCTAGTGTCACTTAATGTCGTTCTCCGTAATGTAAATACAGCTGTACAGCTTAAAAATGAAATCGTTGAAAAGGGATATTATTTCACTAAACAAAAGCTGTGTTTTTCAATAGAAAATATGTCGACTTAAGCAACTGTAGCATGAAGAGAGTTTCTTCAATGTTTTGTTGTTAGGTTTTGTGTGTTACATCTGTCACAAATCATATGACTACAATGGATGGCGTGCTTCACTTACTCTTTTTGCTAATCATCGTCCAGTGCTTGTCAATAGCTTGAGTATTTAGCTTTTGCACGTCAGATGACTAGTTTATGTGACGGGGTTAGATAGAAGTGTTACTGGAAATCAGTTTGAAAATGTAAGTTTGAGTGTAACCCTCATCGTACTTTGTAGGAGTCATAAATCAGAAATGGCAATCAAGTTCGGTTCCGCGCATATCATCCTTGCAAACCAGTTGCAAAATTCACATTATCTATTGTTTGCAATGCGACACATGCCATTATCTAGTCCTTTC